CATCAATAAGAGAAAGTATAAAAACCATATGATGGGCGCCTGGGTGGCTCAGATGGTTAAGTGTCTGCCTTCGGCTCAGGTCATGATCTCAGGGTCCTGGGATCAAGTCCCGCATCGGGCTCCCTGCTCCTTGGGAGCCTGCTTCTCCCTCTGCCTTTCTCTCTCGCTCTGTCTCTCATGAATAAAACAAAACAAAACAAAAAAAACATATGATCATTTCAATAGATGCAGAAAAAGCTTCTGATAAAGTACAACAACCATTCATGATAAAAACCCTCAACAAAGGAGGTTTAGAGAAAATATACTTCCAATATAATAAAGGCCATTTTTAAAAAAGATTTTATTTATTTATTTATTTGACAGAGAGAGAGAGAGTATGCACACACAAGCAGGGGGAGAGGCAGAGAGATTGGAAGAAGCAGGCTCCCCACTGAGCAGGCAGCCCAACATGGGGCTTGATCCCAGGACCCTAGGATCATGACCTGAGCCGGAGGCAGATGCTTAACTGACTGAGCAGCCACCCAAGTGCCCCAATAAAGGCCATTTATGAAAAACCCACAGCTGACTTCATCGTCAATGGGGAAGAACTAAGAGCTTTTCCTCTAAGATTGGGAGCAAGACAGGGATGTCCACTCTCACCACTTTTATTCAATATAGGACTAGAAATCCTAACCACAGCAATAACACAACAAAAAGAAATAAAAGGCATACAAATTGGTGAGGAAGAAGTAAAACTTTCACTATTTGCAGATGACATAATGCTATATATAGAAAACCCAAACTACTCCACCAAAAAACTGCTAGGACTAATAAATGAATTCAGTAAAGTGGCAGGATACAAAATCAATGTACAGAAATCTGTTGTTTTCCTATATAGCAATAATGAACCAGCAGAAAGTGAAATTATGAAAATAATCCCATTTATCATTGCACCAAAAATAATAAGATATAAAAGAATAAACTTAACCAAAGAGGTGAAAGACCTGTACTCTGAAAACTATAAAACACTGATGAAAGAAATGGAAGACAACACAAAAATCGCTTCTCGGCCTTTTGGCTAAGATCAAGTGTGGAAGACAACACAAAGCAATGAAAAGCCATTCCAAGCTTATGGATCTGAAGAACAAATATTGTTATAATGTCCACAGTACCCAAAGCAATCTATACATTTAATGCAATCTCTATCAAAATACTAACAGCATTTTTCACAGAACTATAACAACCCTAAAGTTTGTATGGAACCACAAAAGACCCTGAATAGCCAAAACAATCTTGAAAAAGAAAAACAAAGCTGGAGGCATCACAATTCCAGACTTCAGGTTATATTACAAAGGTGTAGTAATCAAAACAGTATAGTACTGGTAGAAAAACAGACATATAGATCAATGGAACAGAACAGAAAGCCCAGAAATGAACCCACAGTTGTTTTGTGCGTGTGTATATGTGTGCTTTTCTTTTTTTTTAAGATTTTATTTATTTATTTGAGAGAGAGAAAGAGAGAGCGAGCACAAGCATGGGAACGGGCAGAGGGAGAGGGAGAAGCAGGCTCCCTGCTGAGCAGGGATCCTGATGCGGGGCTCAATCCCAGGACCCCAGGATCATGACCTGAGCTGAAGGCAATCACTTAACCGACTGAGCCACACATGTGCCCCAATAAACTTACAATTATAGGGTCAATTAATCTCTGACAAAGCAGGAAAGAATATCCAATAGGAACAAGAGTCTCTTCAACAAATGATGTTGGGAAAACTGGACAGCAACATGCAAAAGAAAGAAACTAGACCACTTTCTTACACCATACACAAAAATAAATTCCAAATGGATTAAAGACCTAAATGTGAGACCTGAAACCATAAAAATTCTGGAAGAGAACACAGGCAGTAATATCTTTGACACTGGCTGTACGAACTTTTTCTAGATAGGTTCCCTGAGGCAAGGGAAACAAAAGCAAAAATAAACCATTGGGAGTACATTAAAATAAAAAGCTTCTGCACTGTGAAGGAAACAATCAACAAAAACTAAAAGGCAACCTACTGAATGGGAGAAGATATCTGCAAATGACATATCTGATAAAGGACTAGAATCCAAAATTTATAAAAAACTTATAAAATTCAACACCCAAAAAACAATCTAATTAAAAAATGGGCAGAAGACATAAACAGACATTTTTCCAAAGAAAACATACAGATGGCCAACCTTCACATGAAAAGATACTCATCATCGCTTAACCATCAGGGAAACACAAATCAAAACTACAAGAGATATCACCTCACATGTCAGAATGGCTAAAATCAGTAACACAAAACAACAGGTGTTGGCAAGGATGTGGAGAAAAAGGAACACTTCTGTACTGTTGGTAGGAATGCAAACTGGTACAGCCACTGTGGAAAACAGTATGAAGGTTCCTCGAAGAATTAAAAATACAACTACCCTATAATCCAGCAGTCACACTACTGGGTATTTACCGAAAGAATACAAAAACACTAATTTAAAAAGATATATACACCCACATGTTCATTGCAACATTGTTTACAATAGCTAAGATATGGAAGCAGCCCAAGTGTCCATCCATAGATGAATGAATAAAGAAGATGTGGTGTATATATACAATGGAATATTATTCAGCCATAAAAAAGAATGAAAGCTTGCCATTTGCAACAACATGGATGGAGCTAGAGAATATAATGCTAAGCGAAATAAGTCAGTCAGAGAAAGACAATACCATATGATTTCCCTTATATATGGAATTTAAGAAACAAAACAAGCAAAGTGGGGAGAAAAGAGAGACGAACCAAAAACCAGACTCTTAACTATAGAGAACAAACTGATGGTTACCAGAGGGGAGGTGGGTAGGGGGATGGATGAAATAGGTGGTGGGGATTAAGAGTACACTTATTATGATGAGCACTGAGCAATGTATAGAATTACTGAATCACTATATTGTACACCTTACTCTAATATAACACTGTATGTTAACTGGAATTAAAATTAAAACTTAAAAAAAAACTGTTCTAAACAACCCAAAACAAAAACAAAAACATGTTCCTCAAAAATTTTAAAACAGAAACTATCATATGGTCTGCAATTCCATGTCTGCATATTTATCCAAAAAAAATTTAACCACTATCCAGAAAAGATACATACTCCCACATGTTCATAGCAGCATTACTAACAATAGGTGAGACATGGAAACAACTTAAGTGTCCACTGTTAGATGAGTGAATAAAGAAGTTTGTGTACACACACACACAGGAATATTATTCAGCCATTAAAAAGGAAATCCTGTCATTTACAACTTGGATAGAGTTTTAATACATTACAGTAAGTGAAATAAGTCAGAGAAAGACAAATACTCTATGATCTCACTTCTATGTTGAATCTAAAAAAAACCCAACAAACAAATTCATAGATATAGACAGCAAATTAGTGGTTGCCAGAGTTGGGGGGTAGGGAGCAAAATCTGTGAAGGGGTCAAAAGGCACAAATTTCTAGTTATAAGTTAAATTAGTCCTGGGGATGTAATGTAGGCACGGCTTGAGTACAGGTAACAATACTGTATTTTATACTTGAAAGTTGCGAAGAGAGTAAATGTTAAAAGTTCTCATCACAAGAAAAAACAAATTTGTAACTACGTGTGGTGAGGGATGTTAACTAAACTTATTGAAATAATCATTTTGCAATATATAAGTATATCAAATCATTGTTATACCTCTAAAACTAATACGTTATATGTGATTTATATCTCAATAAAAAAACAAAATAAAATAAAAATGACTAGAAAACACATCAATGATTCCATTAAAGTAGACGTTGAGATTGTCACCTGGCCACCTTGGGTTCCTCATTGCATGTAAACCAGCAGGCAAAGAAAGAGGGCACTGCACTGGCTAGAGTGACTATTAAGGAGAAGTTGTGTTCCTTTGGTACAAAAGGGAAAAGGAGGAATACGTCGGAAATGCAGGAAATCTTTTGGGGTACCTTTTAGAACTGTGTTCTATGATAAATTTTATAATTGATTGCTTCACTTTTTGTTAAATTATAAAATTTACAGGATTCTGTTGCTCAGAAGAAACTCATTGAAAACATAGGGCCAGACTGTGATAAGGAAACAAAGCTATATGTTTCTTAGTATTTGTGGTGTTTCTTTCTTTTTATGTCTTATACAAACCTTCCTACGCAAAAGGGTAAAAGGACGGACACAGAAATGTGGATGCCATCAGCCCCACTTTTGTTTGAAGGTGTGAGAATGCATGAACCAGTAAAAGTGTTAACTGGAATTTAAATCTCACAAATAAGCAGAAAATTTAATTCCTGGCAGACTATATACGGTGTTCACTGAACAATATTAAGAATAAAATACTTCGCAATTTCAGTAAGTTGAAATTTATGGCATAAGGCAAGGAATGGGAGCTACGAGCTCTGTGACTTTGGTAAATTACTTAACGTCCCTGAACCTCGGTTTCCTAATCTGTAAAATGAGGACATGTCTTTTGGAAATGGGAGCTCAGAGAAAAGTCATTTTTTCTTGTCCTAACCCAGGGTTTCTCCACCTCAGCAGTACTGAGATTTCAGACCAGGTTGAAACGTTGTTGTGGGGCCCTGTCCAGTGTATTTCAAGATGTTTAACAGCGTACCTGGTCTCGCCCCACCTCTACCCTCTGTCAATCTGGAGAGACGCCAGTGACACCTCTCCCACAGACATGAGGCTGAAAAAGCTCCAGGCATTGCCAGCTGTCCCCTGGGAGGCAAACCCGCCACAGCTGAGAACCAGTGCCTGAACCCTATGGTTCATCCAAAAAGGATGTGAAAGGAGTGTAGTGGCCCCGCTTCATGGAGGTGACTCAGAAAACTGAGGATGAGGAGCTTCCAGCTGCCAGTGAGTCGCCGAAGTCCTAATTAAATGGACTATTAACAGAGGGCCACAAGGGGCAACCGAAGAGGGTAAGAGGCCGAACGTCCGGCTTCCGAAAATGAAAGAGGCCCACACTATCAGCACTTACACTGCTTCGCTGACTCCTGAGCTGAGCTATTTCCAGAGAAGCGGAGAGCCGGAGGCCGCGGGGAACGCCGCAGGTAGCCAGCCGAGGTGCCGCCCCGCGCCGCCGGGAGGCGGAGTCCCCGCGGGGGCGGTCCTCGCCGCGCCCCACGTGCGAGAGCCCGCCGCAGGCCCCGCCCCGGCCCGCCCCTCGCCCTCCGCCCCCGGAGCGCCTCCGCCCGCCTGCGCGCGGCCCTGCGTAAGCGGCCCGGGGTGGGGCGGAGGCGTTGGCGCTGCCACGTCGTGGTCGCGGCTCGCGTAGCGGCGGCCGCGACGGCAACCGTGGCTCGGGAGGTAGCGGAGGAGGTGGGGCTGGCGCTGAAGCCGGATCCGGATCTGGTGCTGTGTACCGGGGTGGGTGAGAGTCCGACGGGCCTGGAGAGGAGCGCCGACCGCGAGGCCTCCACGGGTGAGGGAGGCTGGGGGCCGGGGAGCGAGAGCGGGGCGCGCCGGGTGTCCTGGGGGCCGTCGCGGGCCTGCCTGCACATTTATCAAACAGGTGTGACTGTGACTGCTGCCCCCGGGCGAGGCGAGCTAGGCCCGGGTGGGAGGGGTCTGTTCCGGGAGCCGCGCATTTAGCTTGGCCAGGTCGGTGCACGTGTGGTTGTAGAGCGCGGTTCCGAGCAAGTTGAGCGGACACGCGCCTGGAGCAGAGAGAGGTTAGGGATGGGGCCAGTGGTCCAGCCGCACAGGGCTGCGGGAGCAGGGACCGGGGTCGAAACTAACTCTTCGCTCAGCAGGCTTTAGCGTGGAGGATCGAGACAGTTGCTCAGTCTCTGCTGCCACTGGTTTTGAACAGGCACAAATGCCCCGACCCCTCTTTTACCCGTTCCTTTCCGAGGTGCACCCCGCGGCGGTCGGGAGCCGCATGAGGACATGCTCCTGCTCCGAAGATCACATCCTGCACTGACTAATTGGGGCTTTCACTGCAGGAAGGAGGGACATCCTTTGTCTCTTTTCCCGGGGCTTGTACCCCTAGACACTATGATTTCCCTTATAAGAGGAGCTGATGTTTATGTAAGCCGAACTCTTAAAATTTCGTACAAAATTGAAATGGGCGATTATGGAATTAGTTTTGTTAGGTTATACACTCCTGAACAAATCTTAGAATGGATCTCAAGAAATCATTTAGATCGGTTCTATTTAGGCAGAATTCGCTGACATTTTTTAGAATTAGAGCTACCTGTCTGGTGTGATGATGTAAAGATTGGTGTCTATTGAGTATGGTATTTTAGAGCTCAAGATGGGAAAGCAAGATAGGATCCTAGTCCCAATTCACTCATTTGCTGTGTTACCTTGGAGCTCCATATGCACGTTTCCTAATCGGTAGTCTGGGAATAACGCCAGATTATAGGGATCAAATAAACGATCAGAAAATACTTTTTAAAATTCTCAAGTATAATTGCCTAGTTTAATAAATATGGCCAGGCCTGTTAAATCCTCGAATAAAGTGTTCTTTAGATTAAAAACTTTGTCAAATTATTATTCAAATTGTCATGAAATCTATGTAGACAAACCCTAAAGTCTCAAACAGCAAACTTTCCCCCGTTCATCATGTACTGAAGTAATGTAGTGATGGCCCGGTGGCTCTGAACGTATGTTAAGCACTTTAGTCTTGGCCTTGGATTATGCTTTTTAAAATTTTCATTCCCAGTGTCTATTATTACTTGTTGCTCTCAGTTGCTTGCTTCTGCAGCACCTCCTCCCTATTTGTATTTTAGTGTGCTGTGGAAGCTGGGAAACCAAATAGTTGAAATTGTGTCCAAAGAATAGTCAACTGAATGAAAACCTGATGATCCTAGTAAAAATGAGTTTGGTGTATGGTTTTTGTGATATCACTTGTGACGATTTGGCAATCTTTCTTCTTTTGGATTTTCTGAAATGTGACCTTCAAGTAAGTCTTACACCATTTGTTATTCATTCACTAGGCACTCATTGGGCTGTAAGGCATGTATGGGCCTTGTAAATGCGTGCTAACTTGGCAGTTAAATTGGAAAAGTTTTGGAGAAATATTTAGGGAGGGATAGGGTTTATTTTTTATTTTTTTAAAGATTTTATTTATTTATTTGACAGAGCAGAAGCAGGGGGAACTGAAGAGGGAGAAGCAGACTCCAACTGTGCAGGGCTCCTTGCAGGGCTTGATCCTAGGACCCTGGGATCACGACCTGAGCCAGGTGACCCTAGGGTTTACTTTTTAAAATCAGTCACCCCAGTGATAATGATACTTAGCCTCAAACAACTGCAATTCTATTTACTGAAATTTCCTGGGTTTGCAATACCGTGGGCGCCTTAAGATGCTAAAATATTATTTCTTTTGTAAACCAAATTTATTTCATTCCTTTCTAAAATCTTTTGAAATTTGGTATCAAATCACATCCTATTTTAACTTTCTCAGCATATTGGGCACCAGCAGAATTTTACTTAATGGGGATGGAGTAAGATAAAGGAAAGTAACTTTAGGTATGGCTTTGTTTTGTAAAATAGGTCATAAAAACATTTTAATCTAATTGCCTGGTTAATGGATTCTTATTTCTATTCAGAATGCTTTGTTTTTTGTATTTTGACATATCTGATACTCTTATTTTCCAAATACAGTTTATAAGTGTTGCTTTTGACTAAATTTTTAACTTGTATAATTAAGTAGGGAATTCATCTTCACTAGTGCATCTTCAGTACTAAAAGTATAGAATCTGTAGTCATGCAGGAATGGCTGCATAATCTGTGGTAACCCGTGCAAAACACAAATGGAGGGCTCTTTGTTGAAAAATTAAGAATCTCAAAACAGTGGCAGCAGAAAGTAGAACCAAGTGGGGGGCCTTGGGCACTGCACAGGTCCAGTGCCCTTGAAGCTGGCTCTGTTGCCTGGTTTTGAATCCTAACTCTGTTCCTTATTGGCTCTGTTATCTTGAGCAAATTACTGTGCCTGCTTCCTGGTCTGTAAAATGGGGATAATAATGATAGACCTTTCATTGTATTTTTATGAGTTAACAAATACAAAGCACTCCATAAATTTTAGCCAATATTATTTTTTTGATCATTCATGGAATAGGACCATCTGATTAAAGAAAAGCATAGGAAAAATAGTATTTACTGTTTAAATTCATTAGTTAAAGGCTTCATAATCCTAATTCTCTTGTGTACCTCCTCTCCCCTTTCTCTCTTGGAAATTATTAACTGTATTTTGTGTTCTCTAGGCTATATTCTATTGTAAACTTGGGCATCTTCATAGGAAAAAGTAATCTAGTTAACTTTAAATTGTTCTAATGTTCATCTAAATTCCCTTTTGAGCTTTCTTTAAATTTCATGGTTACAACTGTATGTTAAATAAAATGATAATCAAACCTGTTTAAATAGTGTGTTGCCCTGAGGAACGAAATTTTTAACTCTCTGGCTTCTGTATTTAATATATACGTTTTACTTTGTTAATAAATATTTAGCCTGGGGGCGCCTGGGTGGCTCAGTTGGTTAAGCGACTGCCTTCGGCTCAGGTCATGATCCTGGAGTCCCTGGATCTAGTCCCGCATCGGGCTCCCTGCTTGGCAGGGAGTGTGCTTCTCCCTCTGACCCTCCCCCTTCTCATGTACTCGCTCTCTCTCATTCTCTCTCTCTCAAATAAAAATAAATAAATCTTTAAAAAAAAAGTAAAAAAAAATAAATATTTAGCCTGTTTATTTGCATACCCAAAAAACAGTGTTGTTACAATGATGTTACTCATCTCATCTTTGAGATGAGCGTAAACCCAAAAGCCTCAGGGATCCAATTATCAGGGACAAACAGTAAAATGCATGCATTAAAGTTAACCTATAAAAAAATCTGTTTCAAGTGGACTGTAAGCTTGTTAAATTTGATATGATTGTTAATCATCACAATTTATTTCCTTATTAGTCTTAGAACCAGGGATAGTGTTTATGGCATAAGATATTTGAGTCATTTTTGAGGGGGAAAAAAAAAGCCCTTTGGTATTCTACATAATAAACTATGATTATTTTTTTATTCTTTCTTTCCTATCCAAGAAAGTTTCAGTTTAACATAAACATATAACCTGTCATCCTTTTTGCAGCCCCTGTACCCAGCACAGTGCCTGACTCATGAATTAATGATGAAAAATATTAAAAACAATTTATAAACATGAATTTTTAATTAGTTGCTAACTAGAATATATCCCATTGAGCACTTGCAGTGTGCCAGGCACTGTTAAGTGCTGTATATAATAATTCATTTCATCCTTCTAATAATTTCATCTCCATTTTACAAATGAGGAAACAGATTGTCAGAGTTGACATTAGCCATAATCACATTTGACATTTGAACACCAGCTTTGACTCCAGAGCTCATGCTTTTTTCTGTCTTAGGTTTACTGGCTCCACTAATTTTGTGATCTTGGGCAGGTTACTTACCATGTGTTGCCTGCATTTCCTCATCTGTTAAAATGGAGCTAATAATCATCCCTATCCTGTGAGATTGTTGAAGTAAATGAATTAGTATTGTGTAAGGTTCTTTGAACAATGCCTGATCCATCAAAAGTGCTGAACAAATTTTAACTTCTGTTACTACATCATGCTACCTTCCCAAAGCCTCTACTACAGTGCAGCATTACCTATAGGGTTGTGTCAGGAGTTGAACGGACCTTTAAGGAAAAGTTAAGGATTGCCCTTAAGCATATTGTGACTTAGGAAATAGGGAACATAATGGGGGTGGGATTATAGGGAAAACCGTTGTCATTAAATGGACTTTTTCCTATTTGTTTCCTTGTTTTGTGGTAATGTTATGGCTATATATCTTTAAATTCTTTGTTTCAAAGAAGCGCTAGAAGCAAGTATCAAATAGAATAGTTTCCTTAACTGGGTAAAGAGATAGAAATGGAAGTTAGGGGGGGTTGTTTTACAGTCTCATAACAGTTGTTAGGAAGACTCTGTTCTAGCAACTCTGTTCCACAGACATGCCGCTGCTCCCATTTTTATGCTTTATTCTATCCTTCTATTTGCTATTTAGTCTGTTTTATTAGACTACACCTAGTAATCTGCCCATTTCTGAGTGTTCAAAAAAGAGGACAATACCATAAAATGACCCTTTTATAATAGCATGAAAAACACTGGCTATTCTTAAGCTGCCTAAATGCAGCTGAGAAACTTACATTAT